TACTTGTGTCGCCAAAGTTTCGTCGGAACGAAGTTACGGGAAGTTAATTAACAAATGGAGACGTAACAATACTTTTAAGTGACATTCCAATTTATTATTTTGTATGTATATCACTGATAAATGTAAATATGCTTATAAACTGCACATATGTTTATTCATACAAAAGTGAAGTATCTGTTATCTCTGCTACTTTATTTTTAATTTGGTTCTGATTGCGTAAACGTTAGTCATCGAACTGTTTTTTGTTTTTTTGTTAATTGAAGATTACAGAAAATGAAGTTTGGAATGCCAAATCGGGAATATTCGGAAAACTAAATTATTCCCTAAAATAATATATAAGAGTGATAAGTATATTATTTTGAGTTTCATGTAAGACATATAAATACTGATCGATATGTCTGTTTTTAATAAAATATTGATAAAAAGCCTAATTTCAGTTATACTTTTTAAATTTGTCACGTAGACTAAGATCGGAAAGTTCCGAGTTTTTTTTTTATCGCAGGATCGTGTGTAGATGTGGGAGCACTCGCTGTGGGTTAGAATAATTTTAAAGCTATCGTAAACTGGAAAGACTATAGTGTTTAATCACATGATCTTTAGTACATTCTAGAGATAATAATTAAATGGCAGATTCTGACAAATTAAATATCGATAGTATTATTGCTCGACTTTTGGAAGGTTAGTATGTACTACTTGTAAGTATTAGCCTAAATTATTATTACTATTGATATTATTATTAGTGAACGACGGAATTACGCTTATCGGTAATGTTACTTAAGTTAGTTAAAACTTTTAATAAAAGTTAAACTTGTCCTGCATTTGCATGATGATAAAGTTAAGTTAGGTTTATTTTGTTTATACTTCGGTAAAATATGATTTCAATATTTGTATATTGTATAATTTATACTATAAAGAATTTAAACTAAAGTATAGAAGATAACGACCAGTGACAGTACTGAAGTTCACAAAGTCGTTGATATTGATAATACTATTGGTACTAATATTATTAAACTCAATACGGTAGGTTACTTCTACTCTAGTTCTAACTTCTATTCTAAGTAGAATATATATATATATTTGTTTTTCAGTTCTAGTTCTATTACTTCTAGCCTAAACCAGCGTTTTTTAAACTGAAAATAGTACAGTAATTTGCTATCACTTTGTGTTTATGTTGGGAAGGGGGTCGTCACAGCCAGAAATATTTTCAAGGGTGGGAACAGGAAAAAAGTTTGAGAATCCTTGGCCTAAACTAATAATAATATAACTTGCAGATGTAATGGTATTGACAGTAAATTAATTTATAAATAATAAAGGTTAATAGTAGCAATATTACATTTTGTTCTCTTTGTAAGTTTATACTAATAATTCATTTCTTTTCACAACAATTTTATTTCTGATATAAAAAAAAAACAAAGTTAAAAGTGATGAACCAGTGATAGGAAAATGTTGATATTACTAATATTTTAACTGTAGGCAGTGTTGCAAGTGTAGGAAAGCTGATTGTGTTTAAAAAATTATATTATTAAATGTATGGTGTCAATGATAGAAGTTTGTGAAGTATATAAGCAATAAGCCTAATATTTAAGATTTGTGATAAAAATCAGTAAACTATACATGTTTCTTTCACATTCTTCTTAAGCTGACCACTTCAGATTTCAAATCAGAAGTATGTGAATATTTCAGATCATTATTTTGTCTCCTTCACATCATTACCCTGATGGCTTTTTGCTCAGTACCAGATTTTGTCAACTGGGCTGGCTGTTGACAGTTAAAAGTTCCTTTGAAATTTGTATATGTAGTATAAGAGCTTCAGAGTTATGACTTCAATGCTGAAAGTTGTTGAAGCATTGAAAATCAACAGGCCTAACATTTGTAGTAAAAAAAAATATCTAAATGTATTTTTTTGAGTTAGTATTTTTTAATTAAACTTTAAAAGCCCATTATTTAACTGTAGTAGGGCATAACATAAGTCAGTAGTATGAAATATTGAGGTGGAAGTTGCAGAAGAGTAACAACTTTTTAAAGAAAATTTCATATGTTTTTGGTAACAATATTTTAGAAATAAATTGTGATTTTTTGTGCTAAAAATGAGTATTATAGCATTTGTGTTTTGTGACCATTGATGAATAAATCCTCTGTAAAATGTGGTTTGTTGTTGTAAAGTACAAACACATATCATATTATTACAGCTCATTTGTCAAAAGCAACAGTGATACAGTGAAAAATGTTTTTGGTCGTACGTTTTATTAAAATAGTAATTACCTGTCCAATTTTTAAATATGTTAATATGTAAATTAACATTTTGGGTTACTGTTGACAGCGCTTGGCATTATTTAAGGTATAAATATGATTTTATTTACTTTATTCATCACTATTATAATTTTTGTTGCATGTTTCATTTCCTCTAAAGATTGTACGTAATTTCTTTATTATTTACCTAGTGGAAAATTCAAGTTAGAAATTCTTTTCTCATGTACGAGATATTCATGTAAAACGTGAACATATGGTCAGTAATAAAAGTATTTTATGTTCAGTGGCAAATAATCACTAAGAAAATTCTTTTATTAAAATGGTTATTTCAATATTTGTAAAACCTTCAAACTTTAATTGTTAGCCATGTGTGAGAATTACCATTGGTGCTTTCTTGATGTTTGAACTGTTCAGGACATGTAAAGCTTGTTGGTTTGTCATTTTAACAGAATATAACCATATTTTTAATTGCTGTAATTAATATTTGGTAATGACTATTTATTATTTATTCAGAGTTTTATCTTGAATTTGAAATGTCTTTGAAATTTAGTTTTGTATTTTAAGTAATAGCTTGAATATATCACCTCTTTATACTTAAAAACATTTATGTGCCATTATTATTTGTATTGTTTGAAAGATATATATATATATAGATTTAAAAGTATTATTTTAATGAAGCTTATTCTTTTAATCATAGGAGCTATATTACATGTAGAGTCAGATGTTTGAAATTCTTATGTGTAATCCTACAGATGTTGCTTAATAACCATCAAAGAAACTTGTCAACCAGTTAGTTATACATCCCTTCCATTCTAAGAAAACAATAACTTTTCATCTATAAACACATTGAACAAAGCTTTGTAATCATTCAAGCACAAATCACATTATTTGTAAACTATTCCATAAATTAACTCTCTCTGAATAATAATGTAGATCAAAGTCTATGCAAAAAAAGTATTTTCAGGATTGTCAGTCTAGAACTTGAACATGCTCACTTCCAGTTTCATTTTTAAATTATAATTATTTTACAGTAAGAGGATCTCGTCCAGGTAAAAATGTCCAGTTAAGTGAAGCAGAGATTCGAGGGTTGTGTTTGAAATCACGGGAAATATTCCTCAGCCAACCCATCCTCTTAGAACTAGAAGCACCACTTAAAATATGTGGTAAGTGGCATCTACTCTAATTATCATCGAAAAAGGCATAAAATTAACTTACAAAACTCTGATATCAGTGTTTGTGTTTAGAATTCAAAACAGGATAACGTAACAGAAATAAAAGTTACAAAAATATTTTATAAACCTTCAAACTCAGCATGAAGTTTTCTTATGATAAAAATTGAACATTTAGGTGTGTGAAAAGTTATTTAAGTATTTTTATCTTAATATACACGATTTGTTGTTTTTTTTGACAATGTTATATAGATATGTTACCAATCACTTAAAAACCTCAATTTTTTCCCCTATTATTTATTTAACATATATTTATTAAATAATGAAGCATATGACATAATAAAAGTTAATACACATAATCATTTCAGCATTAATTTGTCAACTGAAATTTTGATTGAAAATAACTGCTTGTAAGCTTACTAAAAGTCCTAATTTTTATCTTAAAGATAATCGGACATCTCTATAGAATGTTTTAGTGAATACTTGAATCATTATCAATGTATTTTTTAAAGTTTATAAATTAAAAGTTCATTTTCCAAAAGATGGGTAAGATTTACTACAATCTAAAAACAACAACTAATTATCTAATAGTAAAATAAGTATAAATTTTAATATTTTCCTCAGGTTCTAAAAATATTAGTGGAGTATGTATTGAAAACCTTTAATAGACATAAAATGTCACTTGAATCATTCTTTTTATTGCATGTTTCTCATTTTATCAGACACATCTGTGCCATATTTCCCTTACAAGCAAGAATACACCAAATTTGATCATTGTTTTCAATAATAAGCTTCCATACATAGTGATGTCATCACAAAAGCAAGCAGAAACTAGATTTATTTAACTAACAAACCTTTTGAGTCAGGAAACAACTGTAAAAAGTTGCAAAGTACTTGATGATTCACTGGTCCCATCTGGATCATCATTAACCAAACTAAATATTTGGATATAGTTCTAAATGCCATACTAAGATAAGAATAGCCACAGGCTTGTTAAAAAGTTTAGAATTTTATTAGTTTCTAAAGTTTGTTATATTTTTATCTTCATGGGACAGAAAGTTCATTTGAATGAACACATTTCAACTGTTTTTACCTTTAATTTTTTTTTCCAGGTGATGTACATGGCCAGTTCTATGATCTTTTACGACTCTTTGAATATGGTGGGTTCCCTCCAGAGAGTAACTACTTGTTTTTAGGAGATTATGTGGACAGGGGGAAACAGTCTTTAGAGACAATATGCCTTTTATTAGCGTATAAAATAAAATATCCAGAAAACTTTTTTCTCCTACGTGGGAACCATGAATGTGCCAGCATCAACAGGATATATGGTTTTTATGATGAATGTATGTACATGTGTGTGTGCTACATATGCATACCTGTATGTAATGGATAGTATGTATTTGGAAATGACTATAAAAATCAAATAAGTATTTGAAAAGTCAGTATCTGGAAATTACTTTTATTACCATTCAAAGAGTTAAAGTAATAAACAATTTACAATCTTCACTTCAAATCAAGCTAGAATTTTTTTAAAATGACATCACTTTTGGAAAAATTAGTGTTAAATTTCCAAAACAAGAAATAGCTATTTCCTGATCTTCATCTTGCCATCTAACATTGTGTTTGCTTGCTCTAGTCTTTATATATCCCACTCAACTGCCCTTGGCAATATCTAATTTGTGAAACTTTGTGCCAGCCCACACACGCCCTCTATGCAGCTACTGTATATATGCACTGTATGCAGACAATAAAATCACTTTTTCGAGACTTACCTCATTTTGGTCACTAACACCGGCTCTTAGTGGGGAGGAAGGGAAGGAGAGTGTCAGCAGAGGTAAGTATGTTTGGAAATACATATTCAGTTTAGGAAAATTATAACTTACTACTGTTTTAAGATACTTCTCTTAAGTTTTTGTCTGAAGCATGTCACCGATTGCCTCAACAAATTTGGCGATGAACTGGGCCCTTTTCTTGTCTCTACTATGACACATTTGTCCTCTTCAGGACTTGCCTTGGTGTCGTGGTTGGTCTGTTGCTGGGACTTGTTTAGTCATGATGCTTTTTTGAAGGGTTTTCACTTACCTTCTGCCCTTCGAGATTTACGAGAAGCTCCTTTTCTTTGGCCTTATTTATTTGCTGGAATTCCAGCATCTTTAGAAGGCAGAGTTGATACAGCACGTTTGCAGTTTTCTTTATCGTCTTTGGCTGCTCGACTCTATTTTACTTCAACTGGTACTTCTGCAGGTTCATTCTTTCATGTCTCAAGGTCCCCTCCTTCCACTCCTCGTTCCATTGATTCTCTTAATTGTTTCTGGCCTTATTTTTGGATAGTTTCGGACAGAGTACAATGGCACCAGCAGCATCGGTGACTACCTATTTTAACCAAATCCTGTGGGAGGACAGTTACATCTCTTTCACCATGTTTGGCATTCTTTCACCATCAATCATTGGGTTCTCAGAGTGCTGGAGTTGGAATTAGAGATTCAGTTTACTTCTCCCCCTCCTCTGTCCACCCTTTCAGTCATTTTTTCTCCTCCTTCAGACCTCAGATGTACAGATCTTCGAGTCCGAGCCATTCAGGAGTTGTTTCTCAAACAAGCCATCAAGAATGTCAATCTCATTCATCCAGGATTCTATTCTTGTCTCTTTGTGGTGCCCAAGAAAACTGGAGATTGGCATCCTATCATCGATTTATCTTAACTAAATCTTTTTCTCCAGCTTCCTCGTTTCACCGTGGAATCTTTTCTTCAACTTCAATGGCACTTCTCATCATTTTTTTGGATGACCAAGTTCGATATTGCAGACTCCTATCTTCACATCCCCATAGCAGAATCTTCTCATTGTTTTTGTGCATGAGGATCAAGTGTTCCAGTTCAGAGCTCTCCCATTTGGATTTGTTTCAGCACCATATGTCTTCTGCTGAGTAGTACGGGATTTTGGCCGGCATCTTCATTTTCTGGGTCTGTGCACACATCACTATATGGATGATTGGCTTATTTTGGCACCAACTCATCATATTGCCAAACAACATACTCAGATTCTCCTTTCTGAAGCCAGAAGAGCGGGCTTCATTATCAGGTTGGAAAAAATCCATTCTTTCACAAACTCAATACCCAATCCATCTAGGAGTGTTTTTCAACACCAATTTGGGCAGCACTCAACCATCTCCCCTCTGACTTCAACATATGGAAGAAATTGTCAGGCTTTTGATTATATTACCTTTTGTAACTGTTCTGTCTGTTTTGAGGATTTGGGTTCTACTGAAGCCCTTGTACCATTGGGTCGGGCCTATATGAGGTCTCTTCAGTGGGCACTTTGTGACCAATGGAGCATGTACATCCATCATTTGGATCAACTAGTCTCTATGTTCTAGAACGAGATTGCAGAACTCCGGTGGTGGTTAGACAGAAACAACACGACTATTGGGGTTCATATACCACCTTTTCGGTCAGATATCCATCTTTTCATGGATGGGATGCTTTTCTTTAGGGACAGGAATTCCAGGGTGTTTGGATGAATTCTGACTCTACTCTGCAAATCAACGTTTTGGAACTTCTTGCAGTACATCGAGCAATGATTCAAGGTCTTTGTATCTTGATCGGGAAAATAGTCACGATTCACTCAGACAACTCCACGGTGGTCTCTTATCTTTCTCGTCAGGGAGGTACTCATTCTCGGGATCTCTGTTTCCAGACTATGGATCTTCTGTATTGGGCTCATTCCCACAACATACATCTTTTGGCCTGCCTGTACCAGGAGTCATGAATTTGATTGCAGATCATCTTTCTCGACCCTATCGACTATTTCCAACAAAATAGATGTTACATCAGGAGGTTTTTCAGTGGATTTGTTCTCAGTTTGGAGCACCGATGATCGACGCTGTTCTGGTCTTCTGTTCCTCATACACAAGCCCTGGTGATAGATGCTTTCAGTCAAGACTGGATGGGACTACATCTGTATGCCTTTCCACCTATTCGTCTCTTACGCAGAGTCTTGTCTACGAATCGTTCCACACCTTGTCAGATTCTCTTGATTGCACCTTTTTGGCCAGCTCAGACATGGTTTCCTCTTCTACAAGAATGTCCACCTCTTCCTCTACCTCCTCGCCTATCCTAATTGAGACAACTTTGGTCCAGCTTTCAACATCCCAATGTTCGACAACTCAATCTTCATGCATGGAAGTTATGTGGTCTTTTGCCCATAGTAGGAGTTTAACTTCTAAAGTTTTCGTTTATTTGACAAAATCCCTCTGGCATCTTACTTTGGTAATCTATCAGCAGAAATGGACTACTTATCGTCATTGGTGTCTGAGAAGAACTTTCAGTCCCCTTCATCCAACTGTCTCCTTGATATCACATTTCTTGACATGGATTTTTGAAAAAAGTTTTGCTTCTTCCACTGTTGCTTTATATAAAGTTTCCTTAGCAACTACTTTTTGATATTCTAAATATCAGAAGGTTTTGACTCCACTGTATTATCCCATCTCTTATGTTCTCCGACCCAAACAACCTTATCAACTGCTTAATTGGGACTTTAGGGTTGTTTTACATGCTTTATAACGTCATCCCTTCGAACCCAGGGCCTCCTGTTCATTATATCACCTTTCCCTCAAAGTTTTTTTTTATTGCTGTTAGCTTCTGGACACTGTCATTCTGATTTATTTGCCATTCATGTTCAGCAGACTCTCTATCATTCTATCTATGTATTGCTCTATCCTGACCGGTAAGTTATTCCAAAAACTCTCACTGCCAGAGAAGGAAACAAATACTTTTCTCTTATTCATTTCCATGGCATTTCTAATCTTTACAGTAGATCAGACCTGGATCGTTTGTTATGTCCTGTCAAGGCACTCGGATGTTATGTGGCTCATACAGAACCATTTCGAGGCCCTAGGTACAGACTTTTTATTCATTGGGATCCTGCAGTGTCCAGAGATTTATCACATCTTACTTTAACCAGATGACTTTAGAAATTGATTCATACTGCCTATTCGGGCTTATCTGTTAACAATCGCAATATTCTCCATGTCACATCTCACCAGATTTGACACCTTTTGATGGTTTTGGCTGCCCGGTTGAACTGTTCTCTTGAAGATATTTTGCGGGCTGGTATGTGGACTTCTCCTGACACGTTCATATCTCATTACCTTCACAATCTGGCAGTTTCCTCTTCGATGGGGTTTTGTCTTCCTCCTGTGGCTGTGTTGACTACCTCTACTAGGTTTTAACAGGGAGGTGAATAACGTATTATCTGTCTTACAGTTATTGTTCTTTTCTCTTCTAGGGTCCCTTTTGATTTCTTTTGGATCCCACTCAGTGGCAAGTGTTGCCCAGTGCCATCTTTGGTCCTTGGTAGGACAGTGTTTCACATCCTCTACATAACTCCTTTGGTAAGCGGAATTCTCCTTGCCCACTTGGTGGGGGAGTAAATACAACTGTTTGTAAATCCAGACTGGGTGAGTTCTGGACTTTGGTGGAGTATGGCATATGATCCTGTCAATCCAGACCTGGAATGTTGCCTTTTGGACTTCTTCAGGTTAATCAGAAAGATTGTCCATTTTGGTGTTGCTTTCTTTCTTTCATAAATCTGGTGGTTTGAAACACAGTTTGGTTACTGGTAGGGATCCTATTACATAGATATATATATATCTGCTGTCCAACTGCCCTGGCCACCAACATGGGATATGGGCACCATGACCCCTTAAATCCAAGCCTCGGCTTTTTGGTCGGGGCTGGACTGTCATACTTGTATTATATTCCACCCTTTTCAATTTTCTGTAGTTCTGGGTGAAGAGCATACCTGTTCTGGATGTAGTGCAATGTTCCCCACTTTGATACCACTTTTTGTGATACATAATTGTTCTTTGCAGATGCTTTCTGTATGATCTGTCTTCACTGGCCCCTCTGCCATCTCATTGTGGGGTTTTAGCTATTAGTGTCAGCAGAGGTATGTTTGGAATTTTCCTAAACTGAATATGTATTTCCAAACATACTTACCTCTGCTGACACTCTCCTTCCCTTCCTCCCCACTAAGAGCTGGTGTTAGTAACTGGAATGAGGTAAGTCTTGAAAAAGTGATTTTAATGTCTGCATACAGTGCTTAAAAACAGTGCCTGCATAGAGGACGTGTGAGGGCTGGTGTAAAGTTTTGCAAATTAGATATTGCCGAGGGCAGTCGAGTGGGGTATATGAAGACTGGAGCAAGTGAGCGCAACGTTAGATGGCAAAGATAAAGATCGAGAAATAGCTTTTAGTGTCAGCGGAGGTAAGTATGTTTGGAAATACGTTTTCAGTTTAGGAAAATGATAACTTTTGTAACATTTGACTATGATTTGGTTTCAAGGTAAGAGAAGATACAACATAAAACTTTGGAAAACTTTCACAGACTGTTTCAACTGCTTGCCAGTAGCTGCCATCATTGATGAAAAGATCTTTTGTTGCCATGGAGGTTAGTGAATTCGCATTTTCTTCTACCTGAAATAATAATTTTCTTCCTTGAGTCTTAAGAATTGTACTATAAAAAGCTTTTATATGTATATATTTGTTCAAAAAAGAAAAAGTACACACCACAAAAAAAATCAGTTTTTCATTTATTTTTGACATTTCTTAACTCTTTATGAGGTTGGTTGATTTGACTGACTTGTAAACATGTTATACTTTAATATATTTTGTGTATCATCGTAAAATTTAGCAGGCTTTCAGTAAACATTACAAATCTTTTGTTCCCAAAAAATCAAAATTTTGATTAAGTATTTTTACTAAGAATTTGTCTGTGAATATGTGGAGTCAGTCTTGATTGTTTCATGTACAAAGTGATTTTCATGTTAAGATTAAAACTACTTTCCTTCATCTGAAACTTTTCAAATTTCATTTGCATAACCTCTAAAATCTCCTTGATATATATATATATATATATATATAGGCAGA